TTAACGCAATTCTGCCAACTTTTCTTTAACTCTTCACTCCCGGGGGGGGGGGGGGGGGGGGGGGGTGCATAGCGAGACCACCGAGACCTCACAGTAACACTTCCACTGCGCCACAGACTTTTCCCCAACAGCTTCTCTTTCACACTCACCCGCATCATACCCTCCACGATACGGATCGTGTCGGCACCAGTCGAGTCTCCCTCGTCCTACACAACTTTGCCACATCCAACCCATCCCGACATGCCGCACTCCCACTGTTTTTCTTTGACCCGAATACAAATACACTCCCCGACCTCCCGTTTACTTCTTCATTCACCCTTGTTTCTTCCACGGCAACTGCACCCAGAACAAAGAACTGAAGGACTTACCGTCGCGCCCAGCTAGACAACTGCCTCTAGGGTTTGCGTACATGTTGCCCTTTCTTTCCTTCCCCCGCTCCTCATACATGCATGTAACCTGAGAATGCTTATACCACAAATGTCTCACTGCCCTTCAAACAACCTCCTCAAAAACCAGAAAATCTAAATCTCCGTCCCTGTGCCTGCGCAGTGGCCCTACGCTTCCATCATGTGTTCTTTTTCTTGCAACACAAACCAGAGACTTCCTCGTCCGCATCACCACCCACGCTCCACTGAGTCTCTTGCAACCCGCCCCCTATCCCCCATCCATCGGTAAAGATCGCCTTCTCCCCTTGATCGCTCCACTGTATGCGTCTTATTCGCTTCTACCGTTAGAAAATCAGGCAACAGAGGGGATTGAGAGATAGCAGCCAAATTACCCCCTGTTTGACGACGCCCCTGACGAGTAGAACTAGATTAACAAGAAGGGGGCACCTGCGCGCCGGATCCTACAACCATGCAAGGGGCACTCGCTCCGCCCTTTGCACCACTATGCATCATCACGACTTGTCAACGCCCAGCATCTGCATGGAACGAAGTCCTAATGAAGCCGCGACTAAAAATATAACTGGGACAGAAACAGCTCCATACGAGCCAACCAAGTGGGATAAACACTAAAAACAATTGCGCCGGAATCTCGAGCGTGTGCTTTACGCAAGTGCGACGGTACGTACGGACGAGAGGGCATAGCCCTGGCAACCACCCGTTTCAGTTTAGAAACGTTTTTTTACTTACATGGGCTCGCATGGGGTGGTGCCGACAGCGGCGGAAAAAAACGAGATATTTTTGCTGAGAGGTTGGAAAGCTCTCGAAGATCTAATTGAATTGCCTCGATGCAATTTTGCAGCCATGCATAAAAAACGTAGGGAGATTTTGCGTTTAGGGGGGCGATCGCCGATCGCCCCACTAAACGCAACATTATCTCAAAAACGTAATGTTTGTGACAGAGGTACGATCGTTCGTCAACTGTCGCGGTGGTCGCGATAAATCGCACCAGATATATCAGGCTACATGCCTTGTATGAAAGCAAACTAGCATGTGCACAAAGGCGAGATGGCAAAGTCGCCAGACGGGTACCGATTCTCGGCTTGCAAATGCACCGCGCGGACGCTTGGTGCAATTCATGTGAAGCAAACGGAGAGCGCGACGGCATCTCATTCGTGGTAGGACAGCCCCCTCAAGCCGGGGTCACGGCGGGTCGATCAAGTACACACACGCTCCCCGTTGCGGTGCCGCCGAGCAGCGCCGGCGCCGTCGCGGATCTTGATTGTTTGTAGAGGGATGCTGCACTTCGGGAGCCCTTCGGAACGAATGCGCTCGCTTTCGCTGAGAAGAAACGTGATCTTAGATGAGGTTGCTTTTCAGCTTATGAATTAAGACAGCTAAGGTTACTTTTTGCATCATTGCTTTCTTCGGCGTGTTCTGCAGTCGAGTTGCAAAGTCTGGCAGACCAGAAACGCTCACTTTGCGAAGAATTTCATGCTTAGGAGGTTCAGAGACGACACTGATGTTGAATAAATGTTGTGGATCGCTTGGTTGAAATACGCACGCATACAAAGAGAGGTCCAAGTATTGGCGCATAGCACTTAATTGGTTTAGACCGTGGATATGTTTTTTGGTGTAACAAAATTTGACCTGATATGCAGCAAAACGAAGGATATCTGGACACTGGGGCAGTGGTGCTATAGGACGAGGAGATAATGGCAGGGAAGAATTATTTTCTCTCATCACATGAGATGAGTGGTTTGACTGACCTTCGAGCAAGTGGGCTGTTCGTGTATGGGGATTACAGATTGCCTTCGAGACGCGTTTTTTGACATAAATATCGGTAGTGGAAGTGCATTGAAATCGGATGCATCTGAAAATCGAAGCGAGGCAGCGTACAGTAAGTGGATGCGTTCTCCCGTGTCTGATTGCGATGCTTTTCGAGGGGGGGACGGGAAGTGGATGAAGGGCGCTTCTCACTCCATTTTTCGGGGCTTACTTGTCCTCCTGCGCTGGGTGCTGGTGCTCTGCCAGTCGAGAGATGGTGAATTGTACCAGTGCCGGTGAGTGGTACCCGCGGGAGAGGAGTTCTCTGTCAGGCCTATCAGGCCCCTGTGTCGCTCGCTGTCCCCAATCTATTGCATTTGGGAAAGCTGTGTACGGTAGTACTGTACCCTGTACTGACTGCTGAGGGTATTGTACCAGGTACAACGGTACCCTTGGCTATGGTCTCTGCCCCTCCGAGGCGTGGCCACGTTTATCAAAGGAACTGTAATGAATCGCAGTACGCAATGTGTACAGAAAAGGAATGACTCTACAATAGATCATGGATCTTGACTCGGACTGTCGACAACAATGCGTACAGAAAATGAGATCTACAGAAAAGGAATGGCACGTGTGCCACGTGTGCATTGCGTAGTACACGCGGTACACGTGCCATACCCATTCTTTACAGATCGCACACTGTACTCACCAGTTGGTAGCATTGCAGTACAGTGCCGCAGTATCATTGCTGGACTGTGTAGGTAGGGTCTTCAGATCTTGTTTGAGATCTGATGGATCATTACTGTTACTGTACGAGCGGAGACGGATTTCGAGGATTTCCGACAGTGGTGTGTGGTGACCCACCGATTGGGCAGAGCGTGGCAGCGATGTATCGCAGAAGTACGGTGAGACTGTTACCGCACAGAAGCCAAAACGCAGCCGTAATTTACCCGTTTCAGGGGTACCGTTGCCTTCGAAGGGTACCCTTCGAAGCATGTAATGTTACAATGCCGTTGGTACAGTGCCGTGCGCAGCCGCCCTCGGCGCCACCGCAGGTTTCAAGGGTTAAACTGCTTTTTGGGGCGTGCCTCCTCTTCACCGACGCTACCTAACCGACCTGAACAAACCGCAACCATTCCCGGATCCCGCTCACTCCTCACCCTCACCCATCCTGTGCCTGTTCTTCGCACAAACATCCTCTCATTATAACGTAGACGCTTTTAAAAAACCTAACCAACCGTCGCCGTCACATCCCCCGTCACCTCCCCCGTCACCTCCCCCGTCACCTCCGACCTCATCTCCTCCATCGACACCCGCCCTCCTCGCACCCCGCTTACTAATCCGCCTCTCGGTACCTCTCTACTCGATCCATCCCCATTCCACCTTCCCACCTCTCTACTCGATCCATCCCCATTCCACCTTCCCAGCCTGACGGCACCCACCGCTCGCCATGCTCGTCCACCCCAGGGCGAGCATCTCCGTCGCCCTGCTTCTGCCTCTGGTCCTGCTCGTCCTCGTCCTCCCCCCCCGCGCGGCGGCCGCCGTCCTGCTCGGCGAGCTCACGGACGAGCGGGCCCACTCCCTGTCCGGCACGGTCTACGCCGTCGACCGTCGCACCCTGCGCATCGACAACTTGACCTATGACGGCCGGGGCCCGGACGCCGTCTTCTGGCTCGATCGCCAGCGCTTCGCCACCCCGGACGGTATCGCCGCTCTCGACAAGTCCTCGTGCCGAACCCTCACCCCGCTCCCGCCCTTCGATGGCGACCGCGTCTTCGTCTACCTGCCCCTCGATTTGACCCGCGTCGCCTACTTCTCCGTCTGGTCCAGCGCCGTCGCCGTCAGCTATGGCGGCGTCGCAATCGACCCGGACCTCATTGCCGATGTGCCGCAGGCGGAGCCTCGGTGCACTCGCGCTGCACGCCCGCCGCGGAACGTCAAGGTTAGGCTTGGGAAGCTGTCGGATTTGGCGAACCACGGCGTCGCCGGCGTTGTGTATGCGCTCAACTCTCGCACATTGCTCATCGAGGGGTTTACGTATGACGGCCGTGGGCCGCCGGCGGTGTACTGGATTGATGAGCGGACGCGGCCTACCGCCGCCGGGGTTAGAGCGCTGAATGCCCAGAATTGCCTTGCCCGCCGTATACCAGAATTCACGGAGCAGGATGTACTTGTTGAGCTTCCGGAAGGCCGACGACTGGACTCGGTGCGCCATTTTTCCATCTGGGGCCAGGCAGTACAAGCATCTTTTGGTGGCGTTACAATTGATCCGAATAAGGTGAGGAATCTACCTGAAGTAGAACCGAAGTGCGCGAACGAGGGCGCAGAGAAGGAGGTGAGGATTGGCAGGCTGTCTGATACTAGCGGTCATGATGTTCGGGGCTCCGTTTTTGCATTAAATTCACGCACTCTTCGCGTGAAGAATTTCAGGTATGACGGGCTCGCACCAGACGCGAGGTTTTGGGTCGGGAGACGGATACCAGACAGACGTGGCTCGATCCCATTTCTCCGAGAGGGGTGCGTAGTTCGCGAAAAGTTGCCAGCTTTTTCTGGTGCTGTCGTGGATTTGGAGCTGCCTAATGCTTTGGAGCTGTCCGAAATCGACTATCTCTCCCTGTGGAGTGAATTAGATCAGCGTGACTTGGGGAGTGTGTCTATTGATGCGTCCAATCTAGATGGAGTTCCAAAGGCAGGTGAATCCTCCTGCTCGGTCAGTGATGAAGCAGAAGGAGAGTCGGAGCCGTTCCCAGTCCGACCGAAATACAATTGCGAAGAGTTAAACAAGGACTATCAGGTCAGGTGGGCAGTTGTTGGCAACAAACTGAACGTTGAGCTCGTTGGCAGGATACGCGACGCTCACTTTATGGGTTTTGGCCCGAGCGGGAGAAATGATAAAACCGATATGATTGGGAGGTACGTCTAAACATCGATTTCTACAACAGCGTTCCACTCTCCTGTATTCCTCACACAGGTTTACTGAAGTGGGGTTCTGACATTCCACGTTTCTTTGCTAATTGAATGCATCCCTGCGGTGTATGGCCGTCACTGCAGTGATCTTGCCATAGCGTACCAAGAAGGAAATGATTTCTTTGCAGTCGACTACTTTGTTAGTGGGCGAAATCCATGTTCAGAAGGCAAGGGCGTATGTGCGGATGAATCTGGTCTCCCACCGGGGGGCAATGACATCTCGAAAGTCTCCGGTGGGAAGAAGGGGGATCTTACAATGATACGATATACTCGTCCGTTGAAGGGGAACGACAAAGAATTCGACAGACCTATTCGCTTAACTGGCCCCACATTTGTATTATGGGCAATGGGACCTCTAAACCCAAGCCTCAAGCGTCCTATCTTTGACCGGGAGCAGACATCGCTTCCAAGCAGCAATGTGGCTGTTGAGTTTGGTCGGATTGTGACTAATGCTTGTGAAAGACGATTGAAGGTTTCAGAGAACACGGTGGGTAGTAGTATTCCAGGCTTCAAACGTCCAACAATATCAGGTGTAACGGATATTACAGCGCGTATCGGTCCCTCTGGAGGGGCTCGTGGGGTTGAGGGGATCACAGGTGGGCCGAGCCGGGGGTTTGCATGGTATATATCTCCCACAGGAACGTCTGGAATGGATGTTTTAATCCCAGCCATTGGAGTTGAACGTGGAAGGACGTACACATTCACAGTCCAAGGAGGGACAGACGATGGCTCTGGAAATGTATTCCATCCCCTTTATATCACGACGGATTCGGTGGGTGGGTTTCAGACGAAATCACCGCAAGAACGAAGGAAGGAAACTGTATATGCTGGAATTCAGGAAGTGAAAACGGAAGCTGATGGTGCGATAATCGAATTCAATGCACCGGCTGCTGGGGCTTTGTGTCGTATCACCTCAACTGTGAGCGACACCGCTACAGTTAGGTTTTGGGCAGACTATCACGATACTCTAGACACTTCATGCACAGAAGATGATGCCGTGACCTCTAACTCTGGAAAGCTAAGATGGACAGTACCTGCTGACGCACCCGACCTACTTTACTATCAAAGCGTCACATTGCCATTCATCGGCTACAAGATCGGTGTTTTTGACGAAGGTGAAGTAGATAAGGGAGTACTTGAGGAAATCAATGGCGGCGGCCCGTTGGAAATCCGCGAAGAGGTCGTGGAGGAGAGTCCTAGCGAAGGCGAAAATGAGGAGGAAGCAGTTCCAACCATGGAAGGTAATGTTGATGATGGGCCCTTGGATGCACTCCCAAACCCTAGTCCGCAGAGTAATGCTGATGATGAGCCGGCGGCTACATCCGAAAGCGATGCTACTCCTACATCTGAGGGCGAAGGGCCAGATGCAGAAGGCGATGTGGACGGAACAGTATCGGAAGAAGATAATGACTGCCAAGTGAATTTTAAGGGTACAGTTCGTTCTTACACTTTGTGTAAAAAGGACCCGGAAAGAAAAGGCATGGACGTGTATTGGAATTTGCGAGAGGAGGATAGTGAGTTGGAGACGTTATTCCGGGCGCGTAAGGTGGAAGGTGGTGGATATGTGGCCTTTGGATGGGGCGAAGTGAAGATGTTGAACAGCCACGTTGTGATCGCAAACACCAATACCGAAAGTGGCATTATTGACTCATACTTTCTTGCGGACAGCAACTCTGAAGGTGTCAATGCGAACAGTAGCCTGCCGCTACTATCGAAAGATGTTGATGTCAAGGGTGATTTTGTTTCCGGTATCTTTACGCGGAAACTTGATATTGAAGGAGTGTCTACACTCACCAGCGGGGCGACATCCATTATTTGGGCAATTGGGCCCGAACCTAGACCGCCCATTATTCTAGAGAAACACAATTTGATTGGAACAGACATACTTGAAATCTCAGGGAGCGCTGGATCTCCTGACAGTGTCGGTGATGGAACTACGACTGTTGCTGATGGGAACAGCAACTGCTCTGTATCGTTTAACGATACAGACGAGGTCTTCGAAGGTTGTCGAAAAGGTCTAACTCACAATGTAGAGGTATATTGGACCATACGTGAAGAGGATGGAGAAATCGACACCTTGTTTCGATCCCAAACTGATGGCTACATTGGTTTTGGCTGGGGATCTTCGAAAATGATTGGGGCCAATGCAGTGATAGCTATGCAAGACGAGAAAGGAGATCTCAAAATTGAAGACTACGGCATGAAAGCGTACTCAACAGCTGGCGTTCAGCCAGAGAACAATCAAGAGCTCATTGACAAGCGAGTTGCTTTCGACGGAGAATACTTAGCTGGGATGTTCACTAGAAGGTTGGCAGTTGAAGGTCTCCCAGTCATTACGAAGGGAGAAACAGATGCAATTTGGGCCGTTGGTGTGCGACCAAGTTCGAAAGCGCAGTTAAAAGAACATAGCAAGAAGTCAAGAGGAAGAATTGACCTTGCAGAGAGCTCAGGGGGCGTTTTGGGAGTCGACACCAGCACCTACTTTATTGTGCATGGTGTGCTCATGACCATGGCTTGGTTCGTATTAACTCCAAGTGCGCTCGTGATTATGCGTTTCCTCAAGGCTCACAATCCAAGCACTTTCAGGTGGCATCGGGCCCTCAACCTCCTGTCTGTGAGTTTTGTAGTTGCTGCATTCATCATGGGACTCGTGAGGGGAACCCGAAAGCACAGGGCTCACTTAATCATTGGGGGCATTGTATTCTCACTAGCAACACTTCAGGCGCTCAGTGGTCTTCTTCGTCCAGGCAAGGACAAGGACGGTCGGCAACTGTGGGCAGTTGTGCATTTTCTCAGCGGATATGTGACGTTGGGTTTAGGGATGGCGAACGTGTGGCTCGGACTGGGCGTAATTGGCGCTGCTACTGGCTATTACATCGTATGCGGGGTGTTGGTGGGCTTTTACGTCATTGCACAACTAGTTTTTGGCTTGCAAGCAGAAAAGTACCCGGTGCGAGAGTGCGAAGCGGAGGAGGCGTTTCCGCCTGATGTGGACCCATTACTTGCGGGTGAAGCACCAGGCCCTGACTTGACATAGAAGGATAAACTTTTCCGTGTCTGTATTTTAACACCACAGGGACAACTAGGTTGCGAACTATTTTTATCCGTTAGCAAGAGATTCCCATATGTAAGAACCTGATTAAAGGCCTTTCTACCTTGCACGGTTCCTGTAGATTTGTATAACTTCATGCACGCTGCACGCATTTTTTTCAGGCAAGGAAAATGTACAATTGGATACATATGTGTACATTCGTGTTCCCTTCCGTGCACTGTACATTTGATGCATGATTGAACACTACCCATACGAGAATTTCACGAACAAAGCATAACATTTCAGGGTTCTAAAAGTGTGGTAGACATGGGTTCGAAGGACGGTAGAGGTCAGCTTAGTATCCCTGCCTCAGCGGCGCGGTGGCGGAGGGAGCCGAGCGCCAGGGGCCGCAGAGGCTTGGTGCAGGGCGGCGGCGGCGCAGTAACCGCGGGAGCGAGCGAGGCGGTCGAGAGGGCGGTCGGTCCTCGAGTCGGGAATGGAGAAGGGGGCAGTCGGCATGGTGTTCGGGTACTCAACTCGTTACCCCCGGGGATCCCTCCTTCTGCAACAGGAATGTTAGACTCGAGCGGAAGCTGAGGCTCGGTTTCCCTGAATGTGCGCAGCGGAGGGAGCGGAACGGAGGTGCTCGAGCGAGTCGAAGCGAAAGGCCACAAAAGCCACTGGCGGTCTAGCCTCGTCAGTGCGTGAGTAACCCCCGGATTTCTAGTCCGTACAATTTCCCCTTGATTTAAGTACAGTCGACCCTACGCATTAGGGGGGGGGGGGGGGTAATTTTATCAATGCATCAGGGGTGCGCTTACAGATACACTAGCAGATAGGAAGCTGAGTTACACTTCGATCGGATATGAGATGTCCGCGACGTGTGTCGGTAGGCGAGAAAGGATCGCAGCAGCGACAGTGGACCAGATGGCGAAGCTCAGGCGTTGGTGGATGCGGCCTTGAGAGGGGGCAATGGTGCAAGAGCTCCGAAGTGCTATTAGCTTCCCGTGTTCATGGATGACATGCAATGTAGACTGTGACGGGGCGCCTAGAGTGTCAAACGATAGTGGCTGAAAGTGCCAGTCTACAGGTGGCGGAGGAAGGTGATCGTCAATGAGCAGGGTGGATCGAATAGTCCGCTCGAGGGTCTGACGATTGCGAACGTCAGCTGCTTCTGCAGCTCCTGCAGATTGGCGGGCAGCGGGATACATCATGCCCTGCGGAATGGACTGCAGATTGTGACGTCGTAGGCCGTAGGTTTGTCACAAGGGAGCCCTGGAGCAGGGGGGACGGTTGAACGAGGATATCTGCCGGTCGTGCAGCAGAGTTTGGTAACAGGAAAGGGACCTCGAGGGAATATGCAAGTCCAGCCCCACGGAACACGTGTCGTGCGAAGACATTTCGGACGGTATTGTGTCTGTGGACAAGTCCGAAGCCATGGCGACAGATGGTCGCGTGATCCCCTCGAGGGTCGAGTGGCTTGGAACAATGTGCGCAGCCCAACGGTGAGATAGAATCGAATGTGATAGGAGCGTCCAGATGACGACGTAGCATGGTTGACCAGGTGGCGTTATGAATGCGGGAGGTGGCTGTAGTATAACGACGGACGCGCGCGCGGGGAGATTATTAACAGTGCGGCCGTGCACGGTGGACACGTGGGCGGGTGTGCCCACGTGTAGGGAGCGCGCGCGTGCCGAGCGGTCGTAATCTGGCGTACGTGTACAGTAGTGCACGTGTCGGCCAAGCGGTAGTCTACCAGTATGACGCGTGTACGCTAGCACACGTGGCATCCGTGCGGTAGTCTGTAAGCAGCGCGTGTGTACAGTAGTACACACGTGTAGCTGCAGCGTCCGCGCGGTAATTAGGAATTGAGGCGCTAGTTTTTTAATGGCGTACAGTACCTGGTACGCACTAGGCGGCAGGTACTGTATACTGGGACAGGTGTCCGAGGCGTCCCTCTGAGGGGTTAAGACCTGACACCCGTCCCCACCAGTAAACTGGGGCAAGCTCGCCCCCGTCCCTTTCGCGCCTATATACGTCCGTTTCGGTTGTCTATCGCGCGCGATGGCTTCTAACCCGTTACCGGTCGCTCCCGTTCACGCACCACGGGGCAACTGCGCGTAACCGGCCAGTGAGCCACTCCCTTTTCGCGAGCTCGTCCGATCGGTTACCGCGCGCCGCGCGTCTCGCGTCGCGAGCTCCCTCGGCTCATCCTCCGAGCCTCTCGCCCGCTAGGGTTTGAGGAGAGTTGTACCACATTTTGGTACTCTTGTGGAGGGGTACAACTCTCGAGGTAGAGCCGCGCGCCTTGACGCCCGCTCTGCGCAGAACCGTACGGACGGAAAAGGTTGAGAAATCACCGCGTCGATCGCGAAGCGTATTCGACGATGAACCGACCGGATCAAGGGGCAGACTCCGCCTCCGGGCGTCTGAGCACCCGCAGTGGCAGTGGCGCACCGCGCCCCCGGGTGGAGAACCCGGAAGCCCTGCTGCGACCGCCACCGCGACCGGGCCGCACGCGAGCGTCCGCATCGGATGTTACGCCGGCCGGGTCGGCAGGCACTGAGAATCGCGTCCAATGGATGGTCGACGCGATTCAGCCGCGCATCCAGGCCTGGGTCGAGGAGTTCCTCGCTACGGAACTCCCCCAGGTAGCGCGCGTATGCCTCGACCGAACGGTGCCCGCTCTCGTGGACGCGCACATACGCAGCGCGATACCACCGCTTTTGGACGAACTTCTACCCGCTCAAGTCCAATGCGAGGTGGTGACGGCGCTCACCACTGTGGATGAAGAATTCCCGTCCGGTACGGCTCTAAAGGGAGCGATCAGCTCCGCCGTGGCCAATCGTCTGGCCACGACCTTCGCCGGAGCAGGAGTCGACGCACGCGAGCAGCGCGACTCGACCGCTCCGGATCCTACGCTAACGCACGCTGAACCGATCGGCGCCGCACCCGGGATCGGTACAATGGCCCCTCACCCGGAGGGTAAGACCATTTACCCCCCACCAATTTATGGTGCTACAGGAGGGCCCACAGAAAATGGCCCTCCCGTACTCGCCGATACGGCTGGCCCCCGCGGGACAGAAAACCGCCTGGGGCGCTTCGCGACAGAAAAGCGACAGCCGTTTCGGTCGAGCAGAAGAAAACGGCCTGGGGCGCTTCGCGACAGAAAAGCGACAGCCGTTTCGGTCGAGCAGAAGAAGCGCACCCGGCGCTCAAGGCTACACCTCGGAGGGTACAGAAAACCCCTCCGAGGAAGAAGACACAAGACGTCGCCACAGGGCGACGCGCAAGAACCGCGACGGACGCTACGCGCGATACCGCGATGCCGGAGGAGGTGGATACCCCTCCGATGACGAGGACACCGAGTCGGACGAATCGCGCAGAAGCGACCGCAGAGGCCGCAATGCGCGCGACCGACGTCGGTTCCGGCGAGAAGACTCCGATCCGGAGGGCTACAGTAGCCCCGGCGGAGAAGGAGACCGCCACTGCAGGGGCAGAGACCGCCGGTCTGCCCCGAGGCGGGATCCGAAACGGTTGCCGGTGATCAGACCGCTGAACGACCTGTTCACCAAGGCCGTCGCCTACCGCACGTATAGGCTGGAAAATCGCAGCGCGCGCTACGACGCGAGTACCGCGCGGCGAGTTAACCGTTATCGGAAGAAGTTGGACGTCCAGCTGAAAACCCACACGTTCGGTGGTCAAGATCCAATCGCGGTGCTAGGATTTCTCGCGACGCATCCGGGCGTGGACTACCAAGCGGTGGCATGCTACGCGCAAGCGATAGGCGAGACGCACCGCTCTGCTCGAAGACAGGCGACCTCGCTCGCGTCGCTTCAAGCACCGTCCAATTCGGTGAGAAGATTCACGCGCAACGCGCGGACAAGGCCTGTGCTGTCGGTCGAGTCCCTATCTGAACTCCCGACAGCGCGCGGAACCGAAACGGAGGAGATACTGGCGGTGACGGACCAGTCGGCGACGCCGAGCTCGCTTAGCTCGCCGCCGACTAGCTACCATCCGTCACCTGCCTCGTCCCCGGCGGGCGCACCGACGGCGCCCGCCCAACACGGTGATGCGCGCGCACATCCGTACGGAAGGCCAGTACAGAACCAGCGGGTCCGGTTCTTCAACCAAGGATTACCTGGACCCCCGCCGTGTCGGTTCTGTCTGGACCTGACCCACCGACAGGAGCAATGTCCTGTGGTGGCGGATAGCGCGCTGCGTTCGAAGCTTTTGCAGGCCCGCGAGGCCAATTATCAAAAGCTTCGGATCCGTCAAGGTCTCCGCCCGGGTTCGCCGTTCGAGCGCCAACCGCCGACCGCGTGGCGAAATTCGCGTGCGCAGGCTCCCACGGGCATCAACGTGGTCGAGCCGCGCGAGACCGTCCAATCGGAAGAACTCGCTCTACCGCTGACGGACGAGGGGCCCGAGGACCTTGGGTTGACGGGGGAAGCCGGGGAGGACGCGTAGAGGCGTCGACGATCCTCCCCGTGCCAAGCCTCAATAAACAAGGCACCCCGTCGACCGCTTCGGTACGCGCGCAATCGCAGAGCCGAACGGACGAAGCGGAAATTTGCTTCTTCAAGAAGCAGAATTATAAGGTCACCGCAACGGTCGGACAACGACGCGCGATGATGCGCGCCATCACGCCGGTTCTAGATTCGGGCGCCGGCCCGAATCTAATCCACCTACGCTGTGTGGCAGAACCGTGGCGCGCTGCCATCCAGTCCGCGCGGAGCCCGCCGCTCATCGACGCTTCGAGTAAGTCGATGAAGGCCCTCGGTGAGCTCAAACTGTACGTCCGGATTGGTGAGTTCGTCGCGCGCGTACCGTTCTTGGTCGTCACCAACCTTGCGGTGGACTGTATCATCGGAACCACGTTCCTGGATCGCCACGTGAAGGCGATCCTGCCACCCCAGAGGAAGGTGCTGTTCCATCATGCGCCGTCCGTAGCGCTGACGGGAGTCACACCCTCGAGGCACGACCGCAAGATGGCCTCGAGGGGACCGTCACAGCAGCTCCCGCAGGAGGAAAATTCG